GTGTCCCCAGCTGTCCCCAGGTGTGTCCCCAGCTGTCCTCAGGTGTCCCCAGCTGTCCCCAGGTGTCCCCAGGTGTCCCCAGGTATCCCCAGCTGTCCCCAGGTGTCCCCAGGTGTACCCAGGGCCCCGTCGCGGATGGTGTAGCAGCGCTGGCCGCACTCCCAGGCCTTGGTGGCGGTGTTGAAGACGGTGTTGAAGCGGATCTGGCAGATCCCCAGCGTGGCCCCTTTCAGCAGCGAGATTTGGGTGTCCAGGGGCAAGCTCCTGGCGGGAGGGGACACGGTGACACCTCGTGAGGGGGGTGACGCCGCGCGGCGCCCGGCCGCGTCCCCGCCCCGCTCACCTGAACACCGGGATCTCCTTGGCGAATTTGATCACCTGCTGGATCATGAAGGTGCTGAGGTCGGCGAACTGCGGCAGCAGCGACACCACGTCCGGCACCTCGCGCGGTGACAGCCCCGCGGTGACAGCCGGGCCCGGCGCGCTGGGCGCCAACAGGCGCACGCTGGGCTGGGGACACGGGGGGACAGGCGGGGGGTGGCTGTGAGGGACGGCTGGGACATCGTGGGGACAGTCAGGGTAACTTTGGGGACAGTCAGGGTAGCCATGGGGACAGTCAGGGTAACTTTGGGGACAGTCAGGATGACTTTGGGGACAGTCAGGGTAACTTTGGGGACAGTCAGGGTAACTTTGGGGATAGCTGGGACATCGTGGGGACAGTCAGGACATCGTGGGGACAGTCAGGGTAACTTTGGGGACAGTCAGGACATCGTGGGGACAGTCAGGGTAACTTTGGGGACAGGATAACTGTGGGGATGGATGGGGACATGTGGGGACAGTCAGGGTAACTTTGGGGATGGCAGGGGACATGTGGGGACAGTCAGGATGACATCGTGGGGACAGCTGGGACATCGTGGGGACAGGACATCGTGGGGACAGTCAGGATGACTTTGGGGATGGCTGGGGACACGGGGGGACAGGCAGGGGGTGGCTGTGGGGGACGGCTGGGACATCGTGGGGACAGTCAGGGTAACTTTGGGGACAGGATAACTGTGGGGATGGATGGGGACATGTGGGGACAGTCAGGACATCGTGGGGACAGTCAGGACATCATGGGGACAGCTGGGACATCGTGGGGACAGCTGGGACATCGTGGGGACAGTCAGGATAACTTTGGGGACAGTCAGGGTAACTTTGGGGACAGTCAGAGTAGCCATGGGGACAGTCAGGATAACGGTGGGGATGGCTGGGGACATGTGGGGACAGTCAGGACATCAATGGGGACAGTCAGGACAACTTTGGGGATGGCTGGGGACATCGTGGGGACAGTCAGGGTAACTGGGGACAGTCAGGACAACTTTGGGGACAGTCAGGATGACTTTGGGGACAGTGAGGATATCAATGGGGCAGTCAGGATAACTTTGGGGATGGCTGGGGACATCGTGGGGACAGTCAGGACAACTTTGGGGACAGTCAGGATGACTTTGGGGACAGTGAGGATATCAATGGGGACGGCTGGGTCATCATGGGGACAGTCAGGATGATTTTGGGGACAGTCAGGACATCGTGGGGACAGTCTGGGTGGCCGTGGGGACAGTCAGGATGACTTTGAGGAGGGTCAGGACAACTCTGGGGACAGCTGGGGCATCATGGGGACACTCAGGACATTTTTGGGGGGCATCGTGGGGACAATTGAAGCACCTCGGGGGACATTGAGGGCACCCGTGGGAACGGCTGTGTCACCCGTGGGGACAGTCAGGACACCGGGGAGCTTGTCAGGGTCACCTTTGGGGACAGCCAGGACACCCGCAGGGATGGCCAGAGGGACAGGGGTGTCCCCCGGTGGTGACAGGGCTGTCCCCAGCGGTGACAGGGCTGTCCCCGGTGGTGACAGGGGTGTCCCTGGCGGTGACAGGGGTGTCCCCGGTGGTGACAAGGGTGTCCCCAGTGGTGACAGGGCTGTCCCCGGTGGTGACAGGGGTGTCCCTGGCGGTGACAGGGGTGTCCCTGGCGGTGACAGGGGTGTCCCTGGCGGTGACAGGGGCGTCCCCGGTGGTGACAAGGGTGTCCCCAGTGGTGACAGGGCTGGCCCCAGCGGTGACAGGGCTGTCCCCAGCTCACCCAGCAGTGCATGAACTGGGAGAAGCTGGAGTCGAAGGTTCTCTGGTGGGCGGCGATGAGGAGCGCGATCAGCTCCTGCTGCTCGGCCGTC